GTGCCGGTGCTGGTGCTGGTGCTGTGAGCTGGCTGTGCACGTGGCGGACAGTTTTCCTGGTGCTGGTGCCGGGCGGTGGCGCTGGTGGGTGGTGGGTGCCGGTTCTGGTGCTGGTGCTGTGAGCTGGCTGTGCACGTGGTGGAGACATGTTGCTGGTGCTGGTGCTGGGTGGCGGTGCTGGTGCTGGTGCCGGGTGCCGCTGCTGGGGCTGGTGCTGGGTGCCGGGTGCCGGTGCTGGTGATGGCGCTGTGAGCTGGCTGTGCGGGTGGTGGAGACAGGTTGCTGGTGCTGGTGTCGGGCGCCGGTGCTGGCGCTGGGTGCCGGGTGCCGGTGCTGGTGCTGGTGCTGGTGCTATGAGCTAGCTGTGCACGTGGGTAGCTTGCGTATATGTGGCGATCTTTTTTGCCCAGATAGCGAAGCTATGGGATTCTTACTTTAAATAACAATGAGCTGCCTGCGCGCGCTTTCGAGACAGGTTGCCGGTGCTGGTGGGCGGTGGAAGCAGGGTGCCCGTGCTGGGTGCCGGTGCCGGGTGCTGGTGCGGGCTGTGGTGCCGGTGCCGGTGCTGTGAGCTGGCAGTGTGCGTGGTGGTGACTGGGCGCCGGTGCTGTGCTTGGTGCTACACCGGTGCTGGGTGCTGGTGCTGGGCGCCGTAAGCTGGCGCGCCGGTGCTCGGTGCTGGTGCCCGCTTCTGACAGTGAAGTGATAACAACCGCCGCTTCTGACAGTGAAGAGCAACAAACCGCCGCTTGCAGCAGTGAAGGGCGACCAAGCTCCGCTTAAGGACAATGAAGTGCGAGCAGTCATGGGCCGCATGAACTTATGCACGAAACATCATACGGTGTTGTCGCTTGAGCGTTCTTTGTCTATTCGCGCTGTGGGGTATTTACACCCTTCAGGTTCTGTTTTGGCCGACAGCTGTGTCAAGGGCTGTACTGTTTGCGCGCGTACTTTTGTACGTATAATGTTCTATGCGTCAGGCTCTCAACCGACCATTGTACCAGCATGTTTCAGCATGCTACACACACACAATAGTCGTGCTGGATACTGCTTGGCCTTGGGCGAGTGAAGCCTACGGGCTTTGCCGATTGTGCGCATACTTTTGTACGCATAAACTTATACGCGCAAGATCATACGGCCTTATCGTTCTGCAGGTTGTTGCTTCAAGCGTGCTACAAAGTCAATAGTGGCGCTGGATACTGCCTGGCCTTGCATGGGCCAATGACACTTACGGGCTTTGCTGTTTCCGCGCGTGCTTTTGTGCACATAAACTTACACGCGCAAGATCATACGTTGTTATTCCCCAAGTGGGGATAGCTATGGGGTTGTTGCTGCAAATAAGAATGAGCTGGCTGCGCACGCTTTCAACAGGGTGTCGGTGCTGGTGCTGGTGCTGGTGTTGTGGTCCTGGGTGCAGGTGCTGTGAGCTGGCTGAGCGCGCGTTTAAGACGGGCGGCGGCGCTGGTCGGGCGCTGGTGTCAGCTGATTGCGCGAGGTGTCGTAAGCTGGCTGCGCAGGCTGCGTACATTCTTGTTCCAGCCAGTCGCATGTCAACAGGTCGTGGGATTCGGCCTAGCTATCTGGGTCTATGCTGGTGTAATTTTGCATTGATATCAAGCGAAGGCTTCTCCCGGTTGATCAATAGGGATGGGCACGTTCACCTCTTCAAAGTATGGAGGTTTCGCACCTTTTTTTGCACTGACTGGTGCGACTTGTAGGGATTTTTTGGGGAACTTTCACCCTCAAGACAGATTCTGTTGGATCCAGCCACCCTCATTCCCGCCAGTCAGTGTTTTTTCATGTGACCTTCTCTCGCTGCCCGCGCTCGCCTGAGGCGCCCAAGTGTTAGTCGGCAGCCAGAATGGCCAAAGGCAAGGAGGACGACGGCGACCAGCCCGACGGGCGGAGCTGGGGCTGACGGGGGCCGGGAAAACCAAAAAAACGCTCAAACGGAAGACTCTTGGAGTTTAATGGCTCGGAGTGAACCCATAGCTGTTAATTCAGTTAGAACCAGCTCCTTTCTGGAATCAACAAATCCTACCCTCCACCCACATCTTCTCATCCAGCAGTAAGGCAACTGTGACAAGGTCTTTAGATCTCCACGCGAGGTCATGGCCGTAGGGTAGGCTAAAGTAAGCTAAGCAAGTAAGGGGTAGCTAGTTTCTTAACGCATTATGTTTAAAACCAAAGTCCCGCAACCCTTTTCCTTGAAGAAGGCCGAGCCTTAAAAATTTGGTTCGTAGATTGTTCGGTGAATTCGGTTTGTACGTTCAGCTAGTCGTTGCCGAGTGAATAGTAGTGATCAAACACGATCAAACCCAAGATGGCTAGCGGCCAGAGATTAAAGGGACAATAGACCAAGTAGTGTGGTGGGAAGTTTAGAGGAAGTGGCTAGACCTGGGCTTGACTCAAATGAATGACATTGATGTTTCGTTGAGTGCACAAGTCTTGGTGACCCAAAAGAAATCCAGAAGGTCACCGAACCCAAGTATAGATCTTAGTAGATTTTCCTTGTGGAACCTTCAGGAGCCCCCGGAGTGGTCTATGTAGGGACCACCGTGAGATTACCCACACCTTTCCAACCGACCATGTCACTTGTCATTAGACCCATACTTCCTCAGTCACCGAACCGAAGTAAATAAAGATCTTAGTAGATTTTCCTTGTGGAACGTTCAGGACCCCAGGGCGCGTGGTCTATGTAGGGACCACGGTGCGGGTGCTACGCGTCCGCACGTTGGGGCTGCCTCGCCGCGTGAGCCCCAGATACCCCCGGCCATGCGCTTGCGCATGCGCCCGCTTTTCCCGGGGTCTTGTGAGCGGACCGGTCTCCAGAGTGCTGCAGGATGCCGCTGCAAGATGTCCATGGCTGTGTGCTGTTTGAAGCTTGGGTGCTGCTGCCGCTGCAGGATGCAGCTATCAGATGCGTATGTGTGCGCTTTGCAGCCCGGGTGCTGGTGCCCCTGCGTGGTGACTGCCGGGTGTATGGCCGTGTGCGCGTTGGAGCTTGGATGTTGGTGCCTTTGCTAGAACACGTTTGCTTCGGTGTTGCCCACTATTTGTATGCTGGCCGCGGGCGGAACCGAGCTCAGGTCGGACATTATATGCACCAAGGCTGCCGACCATTTTGGTGAGACCTTTGAAAATGTCAAATTGTGGGGTTTCCCCTCCGTCCCCGGTGCTGGACAGGAAGCGGCCGACTAGGCGCTGACCGACGGGAATGTGTGGGAGGTGTAAAGAGGTCTACAGGTTCTTTGCGCCCCAAAGGTTGTGGGTCTTTGGTGTGGAAACATGTCGTTCAGTTCAGCGCAATTTTTACACCTAATGAAGAGTATTCACACCACGTGGCTTAACAGGAATTGCTACGATGCATTTGGAATGTTGACGGTCTAGCTTCTCATGTGCGCCGGCATTTTTGAATCAAGAACAGTCTTTTCACTTCGAACAAAGAAAACCCACAAACAAACCAAAAGACTGTTATATAGCATGCTACGGACCTGTTCACAGGCATTCAACTTTGTCTCTTATATTATTTTCTGCAAAAACGTCTACCTCCCTGGTGAGGCATGGATTTCAAGAGCGCGTCCGGGCCTTGGGAGCTGGCTAAGTCCGGTGGACACTTCCAGGAGTCTTGGTGGGCTTGAGGGGCCCGCCATTAAAGGACACTCAAATGGGGTTTTTGTATCAGTCTTGTCCTGGTTTTGCTTAATAAAGATGATCGTTATTTTCCCTATGGTTACATAAATTCCCATCCGTTTTTTTTCCAAGTTCCTGAAGCAAATCTAAGTTGTTGGGTTTCCAATGGCTGTTGACTCAGTGTTTTGTCCCCGTGTGCCGACGCATCCAATGCAGCCAACAAAGCAAAGTGGTGAACACGCCCATGGAACTTGTGGATCCTTGGAATGATAAAGATCCTTTGGATGAGGAACTTTTCATCCGCCACAAGGCCCATCAGCCTCCAGACGTGCAATTTGATCGTTTTGCGCGACCGGCTGAGATCGCAAAGCTGCTTCCGAGAAGGGTTCACCTACAAGTTCTGCTGCGATCGCGCTAAGCCCAGAGGCAGGAACTGGGCACGACAAGGTGGTGGTTTGGTTTTCCTGTTGGGCATGGTTTTGTTGTGACGAGAACAAGGCGGTTCTTGTTCAAGACAAGGGCGGTTTTTGAATGATCCAAACGTCGATGTTCTGATCAGGATGGATCTTCCGCTGCTGCCATGCTTTGGACCCCCTAGCCCCACGAGAAATGCCGCCATGCCTGTGCTGGGGACGGCCCATTGCTTGGTGCATCGTGTTGCGAGTGACGGGTGTCATGGATCGACCACTTCATGGCTGGACTGAGTGTTCACGTTCCTCTCATCTTGTTGGTCCCAGCGGAGTGTCCGCACTCATTCCTGTCCGCCCGATGCGAGCGGACGATGACGGACGACGGACGATGTCGTCCACGGATGCGCACGGATCCTCGGTCAGGGGAGCCCAGCTGTTGGGTGACTTGGCGGCACAGGACGAGGCGAGGCAGTCGGACAGCTCCGGCAAGGGACCGGACGCGGGAGGGACAGGACAGCAGGTTGCGGAGGATTCGAGCCTCGGCGGCCGGCGGCCTGTCATGAGTCTCTTCTATTTGGAACTTGCGAGTCTGTTGTTGATCCCTTTTTGTCAGTCTTCACGGGCGGCAAGTCGTCTGCTGGTCTTGGGTCTTGGGTCTTGGACTCAAGGTGTCAACACCAGGCTCCCAGCAAAACTTGTCATTTCTCTGGTTCCAGTCCAAACATTTTGTGCGATTCGCTCTTCGGTGTGTTGAGGTCCCCCAAGCTCCCTGTCGCGCCCTGCGACGCGGCACCTGGCCTCTCCCGAGGATCAAGACTTCACGTTCGAAGACTGCTGCCAGTTGCCTCTGGTGGGCCCTGCCGGCGCCGTCTTTGAGGACGTTCACGCGGCTGTTCACACGCGGGGATGCATGCGGGGGTCAAAGCGGTTTTCTGGCCCCAGGGTGGAGAAGTCTTGCATGTTGAGGGTGGGTATATGAATTATATAACTTGACATCAAAAGCAGCTAAGTTTAGACCAACTTGCAATCAGAAGCACATCCGTGAGATCACAGCTCAGATTCTCTTTTATATTCTTGCACTCGAAGTCTCCATTCTTGACAACCTCAGGATGTGAACTGCGAGCGCGCCGGTTACAGCGCCACGAGTTCAGGCGCGGGAATGAAGTGGCGGTTCTTCCGCCTTCGGAAGAAGAAAATACAAGAAGCACATCGGGGATGGAAGTGAAAGTGAGAAATCTGTTTCGGTTCACAGTTGGTTCCCCAGACTCGTTCAGGGTTTCACGATGATGTGGCTCCATTACCTTGCCACGCTCGGGTGCGGAACTGCCTTCAGAGCCGTGGATGATGCCAGGCCGTACGACCGGCACATGGCCCTGGCTGCGGGCGGAACTCCAAAGGCGGGAGGGCGGAGAATCCTGGTGCTTGGACCAATGTGAAATCACTGTTGTCCTCCAGCCCACGAGTGGTGCAAATGAGTGGTGCATTCCCGTCTCCAAAAACGCGCCCGTAAAGTGTCGAACAACGCAAGCGTCCCGCCAGTCCGCCATCGTGGGGGTGTCGTGGTGTTTTGGCGGCCGTCACCTGGTGCGGTGCGAGGCTCTCGGAAGCGTTCGCGCTGGGCCAGTTCCCTCAGGACGGGGCTCCGTCAGACGGAGAGACGGAGAGACGACGCGATGGTTCCGTGAGGTATGGACAACTCCAAGATGATGTATCAATGAAGGGGGGGTGTTTACAATCCAAATGAGGGGGGGAGTGCATTCATCAAGAGCCTGCAGCCTATTACATCCTCCCTTTCTTTGAATTGGGTGTTGGAAGGCCACGAGTGTCGGGCGACCGAGATGCAGATGCAAGGACCTCTCCGATCTGAGGAGGTTGGCGTAGGCTAAGCCAAGGCTCCGATCCGTCCGTGATGCCGCCAAGCCTTCGCCAGAGAAATGCGATGGAAGCGAAGCCTGCCTCGTTGCACATCAGACATGCCCAAGTGGATGGTCTATACGGGACACCCATTTATGGTTGTGGCTTTAGGGCGCCACTCCATTGCATCAGCCATGCTCGTGGACACCCCGGGCCACCTCTTTTTTCTGGGGTCATCATTAGACAGGCCATTCGCAGTGAACCATCCGTCGGACGTGTCGAGGAGTGCCATGAAAAGCCATGGCACGAAATGGTGGATACCATGCGGAAAGAGGATTATGTAATCAGTTTACTAGGGTGGAGGCCAGTAGGTTGGAGGCCATCGCTATTAGTTAAGTTTTCTAAAGCTTCCAATTGGAACGCCGTCATTTGGAGGAGGTTGTGAACATGGAGCCCTGACAAGCAAGCAAGGTCTTTCGGGGAGCCTCTCTTTGGTTTCCGGCGAGGGGGTCTGAGGCAGAAAATAGTACGTGGATCGGTAATCCAAGAGGAAGGACCGCCGTTTTCTAAGAGAACAAAACAAGCTCCCCTGAGCAAAGACACAATCTTACTGCAGGAGATTGCACCTTTGTGAGCAATGTCATGGGTGCGTGACATTGCACTCATTGCACTCATCCCAGAATATCCCAGACCCGTGTCGGTATGGCTTGTTCAATACAAAGCTACCTGAACAAAGCTGAAAGAACAGACAACTCACACTGAATGGGTCGGATTGTTTGGGGTCCTCTCCTCCTCTTTGCCCCCAAAAAGGCACCGAGCTCCGGTGGTTCCGAGCTCCCCGACCGGCTGGGCCGCTGGGCCCCCAACTCGCCGGCCGCGCCGCAGGACGCCGCGCGCCGCTGGCTGCGGCGCCTGCATGGGCCTAGTGGGGTGGCTGCGACGCGCGTGGGCGGATGCAGCATGGGGCAGTTGACGTTGGCAGTGTCTCGGTTGAATCTCAGGATGGGGTGGGAGTGGAGTGGAGTGGATTTTTTGGGGGTCTAGGATGGTACAGTGGATCCTGAGCGAAGCCTGGTGTCCAGTTCTTTTTTCTGCTTCTGCTTGGGGATGACTCCTTGCTGCAAAGAGAGCAGCGGCAATATTTTATTTCTTCCGCAAGGGTGAAAGCAGGGCGCTTTCTTGATTCCTTGTTTTAAAGCTTGTTTGAGGTTTTTTATCATTGCGACTGCAACGTTCCAAGCTGCCAGCTGCCATGAAGCTTTCTTGCAAGCAAAAGATATCCAGAATCCAGAAAGAATTCCTTGAACCGGGGCTCAACAACACGTTATGTTGGAAGGAAACCAACACTTCAATTGGTGTCCCTCTGATCTGGCTGCTTTTGCCAAAGAAAGCAACTCGCAGACTTGAGATTGCTTCGTACCCTTGTCTTCCATTCGGAAATCCTACTCTGCAGTTGGGGAAAAAGAGAAGCAGAACAGTGAAACGGCCTTTTACATCCGTTCCATCGCTCTGTTCGCTGAACATTCGGAACGTCAACTGGCAGGTGGCTCGCGTCCTGCTTTGTCTCCTCGCGGGTGACCGTGACTGTCAGAAGCATTGGGACCAAGCAGCACAGGCGCAGTGGTGACATGTGTGGTGACATGGAGCGAGGGCAGATGCCTTGGTCACCGCTGATGAGGAGGAGAACCACTCTTGCTTTTGAGGTTAAGGACGTGCAGTATCCAACGTTTATTCTGAAGAACGATTTGCACCCTAAGGAATCCCCCTAAGATTGCTTTTGGAACTTGAGTGAGCTTCCCGTTCAATGGTAGGCGCCCCGGTAGGGATAGACTCTGGTAGACATCCCAACACTCCTAGTGCTTTCGCCAGCCTTCATCAGCACCCATCAGTCGCCAGCTCACACTCTTGAGTCCTCCACCCGAACCGAAACCACTCATCGACTGGTGTCTCTAAACCCGTCGTTCTTCGTCCTCGTTGCCGTCGTCAGGCCTTCCGACTGGATCGCTTGGACCTGGTGCTTTGGTCCGCTTCGGCTTGGCCGGTCACCGACCTGCTGCGCCCCTTGACCAGGCGCGTGCGGAGGGAAGCCGCGTAGATGCCCGGTGGGCGAAGGAAGGAGGGGTTCCGGTGGGACCGCAGGGCGATGAAACATCTTGAGGTTCCTTTTTCTATGTGCTTTTTGGAGGGACATATTGAGCCTATAACACGGTGGTGATGGTGCCGCATGCTGCCGCGGTGTGTTTTTATCTTTTCTTTTTTCAGCAGCTAAGCAATGGAGTTTTTGCGGTTGGGCCCATTTCCAAGTTCGACTGGTGAGGTTTAGTTTAGTCCCACAAGCGGACGACATCTCATTCTTTTGCTATATGAGTAGACAGACATCCCCAGTTGATGGCTCTTGGCCAAAGAGGGTTTTTGCTGCTTGATCTAGCTATACTACAGATGACTACATAAAGAGACTACAGAAATGTCAGCCACTCTCCAACAACCCTCATCACTGATCACCACCCAAGCTGTTTTCACGTGGGAAAGGCGCCTGAAGATCTTGTGTCTGAGTCTGGGGCGGTTCAAAACGTTTGTGTCCAGGATGGTAGCACATGAAGAGATGGATGCAGCTTGCCTCGAGGCGAGAGGCTTGATTCACTTGCCAACACTTGCGAAGCTACAAGATGCCAGTTTTGTCCAAGGAAGCAACGACACAAAACATCTGTTTCTTTTTCGTTCGTTTCGAGAGGTGCTCCACATGTCTTCTTGGCACGTCCTGTGTACGTCGCTGCGAGACTTGCACTGATTCGATCTGTGCCAAGTGGCGAAGGGTTGATGAGGGCGATGTTTGCACTCATGCGTTGGCCGAGCCGAGTGAAACCTCATATGAAAGGGTCGACGATCCATTGAACAGTCAGTATGATTGGCACATTCACTTTGCAACTTGGTTCTTGGTGAGTGGTACCACACTTCGCTGTCAGTGTCTTTTTTTCCCCATGTCAATTGGCGTCGGATCGCCGCGCGAAGCCCCGTATCCCGACCCGTCCCGGCACGCTGTATCGGTGGGAGAGGCGGATCCGATGATGGATTGGTGTCAGCCTGAGACTGCAACATGAATGAGGATGAGGGGCTGCTAGGGGTTGGTGCAGACCTAGTGAATGACCAGCAGATGAAGCTAGCAGAGGTCCTGAAGTGAAGGGACATTCAGCAATCATGTTTGGTGGTGAACCACTGGTGACCAATGGCTCAGCATGCTGGCTCAGCCTTCTATTTTTCGGTCCATGAACTATTTGGGAGAGGTCCATGAACTTTTTCGCTTTTGATTGAGAAGAAAGACTTCTCCATCCCCCTGCCAGAGCCCTTACAAGGCTCCGAGTCACTCACACCGCCCCGCCGACTCACCGGGGTCCGTGGCGACTGGAAGAGAAGACGATTGTCTCGGATCTGCACACTTTCCGGGGGGTTCCGGGTGCATTGAAGGTAGCACACGAGCCGTTGACACACACACTTTGCGGCAAGACCCGGGTGGGCAAAACGCCGAGCGGAGTGGAGCCGCCGCCCCGAGGCCCTTGGCCTTCCGCGCCGCGCGGAACCTGCCGGACGACGAGCTGCAACACCAGGTGTGGAGGCCACCCATCGGGTCGAGACCGTGCGCGCGCGCGTGCGCGAAGAGGACGGTGGTGAGTGGTTGGTTTTTCTTTTTTCTTTCCGGACGGGAGAGGAGTGTAGATTGGTAGTTTGGAATATAAAATTGGTAGTGTGTGGATGGCAAGATGTGTGTAGATCCAATGCTTCAACCGTTTACGGCCGGTTTTTGATTAGGGATCCTTTCCAGTCAAAGATCCCGGTCGATGTCAAGGATTTCACCAACCATCAAGCATCATCAAGCATCAAGCATCATCAAGCATCATCAAGCATCACAGTGAGTTCTCCACATATTTTTTTTTTCTGTGGTCAATGGTGATCAGTGATGATCCTGGCTTTCACGATCGCGGTCCCACACCGTGGCTGTCGACAGACGAGTTCCACGGTTTCGCTGCACCAGGATGATCTCCGCAGACGAGGCGTTTGGCGTGTCTGGCGTGGCGTGTCTGGCGTGTCTGTCGCCGTGGTGAAGCGGGTTGGATGGAAGAGATAGATCGTCAACGTGTGCGGCGTTTGCCAAGCTCTAAATGCCGGAGGTGTTGAGGTTGGAAAAGAGTATAGGGGCGGCTCAAGAGAGACTCAAAACGACGTCGATCCAGCAAGACACGCCGTCGGCGGGGGGCAGGTGTCCATCCAGGCTTTGCTGTCCAGCAGATGCCGCGCCGGTGCCCAGTGGGCCACGCTCGTCAAGCTGGGCTTCTGTCACTCTGCAGCGAGTTCGCGGCCGAGCGTTCGCCGCCGGGGTGGCCGAGTTGAAGACGAAGAGTGCGAGTTCCACGACCGAAGTCCGTCCTAAAGAGGTCAAAAGGATTTATGCATAGAAAGAATCTGTATTGGTTGGGCGGGAATCTAGAAGTACATCAATTAAACAACTTGAATCGTGTAAAGGCACCTGTCTATGTACATATAAATCAGCGGTAGCCAGCAACAGCATTCACTTGATCCTGCCGCTCTTGGTGCGGGATGTCCTTTGACACGCCTTCAATCCATATGCCATCAATGGCTTATCCTTCGGAATTGGTTGCGTAGTGACCTTCACAAAACCAAGAGAGGTTAAGTGACCTTATAGGACCTTACTGGGGTACCTAACTGGGATAGTCTATAGTAACTATAGTATTATAGGGTTCTTCAACCTCTGTTGGAAGAGGGGAGCCCTTCGACACGTACGACCTCGCCAGATTCGTTGCCTCCCTCTGGCACGGCCAGCGGTGTCCGTTCCGCGGGTCTGCCTCCCGCTCGAGAGCTCTCGGTGTCTCCTCCGGTCTCGGATCCTACGAGATCCCAGTTCTGAAGATCCGGTGCCAAGTGCCACGAAGAAGCAAAGCGACCCGTGCCAAAGCGACCCAGTGCCAGTCGAACCGTGCCGGGGCAGTTTTTGAAACCGTCCACCAGTCGACGGTTTTAACGGTGGCCGCGACGTGGAACACGCACCAGTCATTTGTTGCACGCGACCACTTTCAGTAATTGAACTTCAATGCAGTTTCCACATCCTGGACATTTCTCTTTGACACTTCCTTTAAATGCTCATTTTCACAAGATTTCTCATCAACGTTGTGCAACCTCACGAGGGTAGCTTTTGCAAAGGCAAGGGTGTTTGTGATCCGTATTGAAACCAGACTTCTTGTGGGACCAGCAGGTTATGTTTTGGCACCTAGGCATGGATATGGCACCCAATTGCGTCAAATCGCATGTCTTTGCGCTGGAGTTCATCATGTGCCTTGCCGATCAACTGTGTTCATCGCAGCGCAGCTTAGCGTCGTTTTCTTGTGTGTCTCAGGTGCAATGCGAAGTGCGTGTTGCAAAATTGATCTTCTTCGGCTCATCCAAGTTGTCACACCTAAGTCATCTACAGAAGATCGGCCGGCCCGAGCTGCGATCGCCCAGATCGCCCCTTTTCTTTGTGCGATCGGCTGTTGAACTGTAAAGAAGGCAAACAATATGCGTGTCTTGGGAGATCTCCCCTGCACCTGCGTGTGGTAAAACGCCCCCTGTTTGGTTTCGACAAATGGTGCATCTTGACACATGTACTTTGTAAGAGTCTCAGAGCTTGAAGTATCACGGAATGTCCCAGTTGAAATCTTCTCCAACTGCTTCAGATCACCCTACCACCTGCTTCAGAGATTTCCAGTTGACATCTTCCAGAAAAGAACACAACAAACTTCCCAAGTTAAACCATTCTCCTTAACAAGAAGCCAACCGTTGTTCCGCCCACATCCCGTGCCTTCGCGCGCTCCCGGGGCGCGGGCGGGCGCGCCCCAATCCACACAGGCGCGAGGCGGCCACCGGCGGCGGGCTGCGCCGCTGGATGGCCGAGGCCGGCGCCTGGCGCTTGCCACTCGGTGAAGGAGACCGGTGGATCGGTCCGTCGGAGGTGGCGGGCCTCCCGGTGGAGGTCGGTTCAGGAGGGACCGAGGACGGATCTCGAGAGGTCTGCGCTGGGTTGGATGGGTTGGAGGGGCTTGGAAGGGGGAGGGGCTTGATTCCGTGATCCTGCTTTCAGGGATTGTTCCAAATTGGTGAAACATCTGTCAAGACTTCAAGCTACGGCACAAACTTGAAAGCTGAAAGAATTGATATTTCTAAAGCACAAGTGTTTTAAAAAGGATATAGGATCATGATTGACACATAGATGAAGCACGATGCATGGTGGCCTTCAACGCGTCAGGGGGCCCAGGGGCCCAATGGCTCAAGGGTTTGTCTTGCCGGCCGGATCCTACCGCGCCCGAGGCCGCAGCAAGTATGCGGCGATGCCCTCCATCACGGTGAGTTGAGTGATTTTCCTAAATTGAGGGGTTTGTGATTGAGCCCTTTTTGCTGGAAAGGAATGAGTCCGCTGATGGCAGGAACTTGGGTGAAGAAGGGTGTGGGTTGTGGGGGTGGGTTGTGGCATTGTTCAAGTCGACTTGAGGATGATGATACTTAAGGTGATTGACCACCCCCACAAATGAGGCCTCGCAATTACTGGAAAGCAAATTTTTTTTTCTAGCACTCTGTAGGTATGGGCCATCACTGAAGCCGGCCAGGGTGAGGGGGGGCAAGGGTGGTGTACCTCGGGTACACCGCCCGACCTTTGCAGGCCAACAAGCTCGGCCTACCTCGGCGTCAGGGGGCCCAGGGGGGCCCAAGAACATTAATAATAAAGTTCATACTATTCAATTACCCTGGGCTTGTTTACCACCCCCTTGAAAAATTGTTTGGAGTGACGAAATCGTTGAGTTTTAAAGAGCGTTTTTGAAAACGATTTCCAGGTTAAAGTTCCATGAATCAAGTAAACCTCAGAAGAGTTAAGTAAGGATTTGAAAGGGCAGCTGTAGCAGAACAATCGTTAGATTTTTCCGGTAGGGCTCCAAGTTTGCTTATTGATCCCACCCCCTAGACAATTCATACTATTAAATTACCCTGGGTTTGTGTACTAGCCAATAGAAAAATACATTGTTTGGAGCAAGGAATTCGTTGAGTTTTAATAGGCTTTTTCAAAACGGCTTTCAGGTTAGAATTCCATGAGTCAAGCAAACCTCAGAAGAGTTAAGTAGGGGTGGTACAGGGTGAGCAATAGCAGAACAATAGAAAAACAAACAAATCTCAACAAAAGGACACTAGGTGAAAACAAGCTCTGTATTATTCCGACCGACCCATTAGACCAATCTTTTTGTTATTCCGTCCCATTACACTCTTTAGGATTCAACATTGAGGTGATGGACTACGGCCTTGCAATTACAGGAACTGAGGCCTTCGCGCTTTGGGGGCGCGCCGGAGCCACACAGGCGCGAGGCGGCCACCGGCGGCGGCGGGCTGCGCCGCTGGATGGCCGAGGCCGGTGCCTGGCGCTTGCCACTCGGTGAAGGAGACCGGTGGATCGGTCCGTCGGAGGTGGCGGGCCTCCCGGTGGAGGTCGGTTCAGGAGGGACCGAGGACGGATCTCGAGAGGTCTGGGCTGGGTTGGATGGGTTGGAGGGGGCTTGGGATCTCTGCCTCATTTGTGGGGGTGGTCCATCACCTTAAGTATCATCACCTTCAAGTCGACTTGAACAATGCCACAACCCACCCCCACAACCCACACCCTTCTTCACCCAAGTTCCTGCCATCAGCGGACCCATTCCTTTCCAGCAAAAAGGGCTCAATCACAAACCCCTCAATCTAGGAAAATCACTCAACTCACCGTGATGGAGGGCATCGCCGCATACTTGCTGCGGCCTCGGGCGCGGTAGAATCCGGCCGGCGAGAAAAACCCTTGAGCCATTCCTGGGCCCCCTGACGCGTTGAAGGCCACCATGCATCGTGCTTCATCTATGTGTCAATCATGATCCTATATCCTTTTTAAAACACTTGTGCTTTAGACATTTCAATTCTTTCAGCTTTCAAGTTTGTGCCGTAGCTTGAAGTCTTGGCAGATGTTTCACCAATTTGGAAAAATCCCCTAACATGGCGCCAACATGGACCTAACATCGTCCAATATAGGCCTGATTTGGCTAAACATGGTTCTCTTGGCTCAAGATAGGCCTAAGAATAGGCTCAATAGGCTTAACATAAGCCCGGCATAGGCCCAAGATAGGCCCAACATAGCCTAACATGTGCCAAACTGAACCCAACATATCCCAATAGGCTCCAGCAGAGCGGGGTTGTCTAGCATTCTGTAGGCATGGGCCATCACTGAAAGGGGGGGGCAAGGGGTACACCGCCCGAAGAAAGTGAACAAACATTTGCAGAAAGGATTGGGTAGACATTGGAGGGAAAGGAGGAGAAACTACCGTGAGAAAACAAGTTGAACTGACAGGAAGTGTGTGGAAGAGAGAGAGAGAGAGAGGGTGGTTGTAAAACAATGGAACTTCAACTCCTGCACCAGCTTTGTCAAGGTTTTTGCTGTATTGAACCCATTGGTATTGGGACAACAGGTTTGGAAGAAGGGGGTTGGGAAGATGAAACTGGAAGAGGTGAAGAACAATTAGGGAAGTTTCATATTTCAATTTCTAGGCGCAGCTTCCCTGAACAGTTTTTGGCAACCAATGCTTTGAAACAACAATTTGAACACAATATTGGAGCTCAGGGCAAGGGAACTGGGGGCAGGGAACTGGGGGTCTTCTGGAAGGTGAGGCTTGGGGAAGGGGGGTTTTAAAGGTCAATTCTATTTTGCTTTGCTGGGCCCTGCTCCAAAAATCTCACAGCTCCAACATTTGTTTTGGTTTCGCGTGTCTTCTGGAGGGTGGGGCTTGGGGACGGGGGTTTTTAAAGGTCAATTCTATTTTGCTTTGCTGGCCTGGCTGCTTTTGCTTTGCTTGCTGTGTTGGTGATTGGGCTTTGCTATCAAAAACACTCAGCTCTTTTGGCATTGTTTTTTGGGCCCCTTCTGGGCAGTGGGGTCCTGGCACAGCTCTTGCAAAGCAGTTCCTCTGTATAGATCCTGTGGAGCATTGACCTTGGATCTGGGTGGCCATTTTGGCTCTCACCCCTGAACTTGTGCCAGAGCTTGGTGTGACTTTCGCGCGCAGGGGCCTCAGGGTGAGATGCAGCCACCGACACTTTTGACCTCAGTTTTTAGCCACTAGCGCGTAGCTCCAGGCAGTGTTCAGGGCGCAACTTTTTCCAAGCCTGTCAGGACTTTGCTTTGGCTTTCTTCTGAGCATCCCGGCAAGGGAGGTGGGAATGGCGCAGACAGACAGACAGACCAGACCAGACCAGACCAGACCAGACCAGACCAGACAGACCAGACCAGACAGA